AGGTGTGGCTTGTGCATGTGTGTGTGTGTGGATTGTAGAGCGACAGTGAGGGAACGTGTGTATGTTTCTGGAAGTGAAACGAGGAAGCAGAAAAACAGTGGTCTGTGATGTATTTTGTGAAACAGAAGAACAGCTAAATAAATGCAACGGCCTCCCAAGAAGAGCTCGCCTCTCTCCAGTCATTTAAGCTAAAGTGGGTTATTGAACATGAAGCTTGTTGCTTCTGCCCTCCTCGACTACGGTCTGGGAGCCGACAGGAAAGTTCAACACACAGATGGCCAGTCCGCCCCTTTGTAGCATATTATGTCGATGAGAGATGAGCAGATCGCCACTGGGCTTTCAACTAAATACACAGCCACGCAAAAACTGCGGCATTTGTACAGCTCCTTATGGGTACTGCAATTTGTGAAGTGCTTTCCTCCGTGGTGAAACGATCAGCACTGCACCACGGAGGAAAGCGGCAGAAAGTCACCTGGAGTTAAAGAGAGCGGGGCTGCGTTGCGTGCATGGCTTCCTTCTGCAGGTAGACGCACTCTGGCGGCGGTCTCGTTCAGGATCCGAAAATACAATTTAAATATTTTTGCACACTTATTCCTAGTGTGCCACTGATTACGGTGCCGCGTGCCAATGCTGGCACGCGTGCAAGGGGTTGCCGACCCCTGCTCTATACAGTGTTGTTTACATTCTGTGATGCGCGAGCTGATGACGTCACGTCAAGACGAGTTAACTTTTTTTTCTCAACTTTGTGTAGAAAAATGCGGGGATTATGCGGCCTTTTGATAAATATGCGGCCTTTTAAAAATCTGCGCCATTTTGCTGATTATGCGGTAAATTCTGCGATCGCAGAATCACGTTTTTCTGGAGGGTATAATTAATGATATTTTCTACAACGTAATCATTCTTTCTTTAATGTTGAATATGCTACAATTTGACAAGCCAAATCTTTTAAATAAATAAAATACAGTCTTTCAGTACTTTTTTCACACCTATTAAAGGTGCCCTATAATGTTCATTTTCAGGTTCATATTTGTATTTTATCCCTCTACTGCAGGGGGGGTCAAACTCAAATACACAGTATTTACTATAAACTCAATGTTTATTGCAAAACCTATTGAAATGAACTTATTGCACATATTAAATCTGGAACTAACACAGCTTAAATTATTGCCTATAAAAACAACATTAAACATTAAATAATCAGTTGCATTCATTTTTTATGGCTCTATCTGCAGCTTTTCCAGAGTCATTTCTTATGATTACATTTTTCAAACAGCTTAAAAAAAACAATTTCCCTCAAAGAAAAACCAAGCATGCCCTGTTGTCTCAAGAGAAAAGTGCAGAAGGAAACATCCATTGAAACTCAGTTTGCTGCTCTGTGTTGCTAGCTCAAGCCAGATACTTGGCATCTAATCTTGGGTGCAAGTTCATCAATGTTTGGGGTCAGGCTCTGAGCTGAGGAACTCCTCAAGATTGAGTGAAGGTGTGCGTGCAATATACCAGCGGGCCAGATCTAATAGTAATTCAAAATGATCCTGCGGGCCGAAATTAAATCTACCACCGGCCGGATTTGGCCCCCGGGCCTTGAGTTTGACATATGTGCTCTACTGTGACATGTTTCCATGCTTTAATGTTCAAAAAGCTCTTTATTTTTCTCATAATGCCTGTGCTGCAGCACCTCTTTTCACCCTCTGTCTGAAACCAGAGCCCAGTCTGCTCTGATTGGTTAGCTGGCCGGCTCGGTCGTGATTTGTCAACCGTTTAGAGGTTTCCCGCCCCTTAGAAAATCACACACAATGTGTTAGATGATAGACAATAGAAGGCGACTGTTACATAGTGATGTCATTATGTTACGGATGTAAACAGAGGAGTCCAATTGAGGTGCTTCATGCAGTGGGGGGGGGGGGCTCCCTCTGGAGACACAACACACTACAGGAAAGGAAAAATTCCTAAAAAGCATAATAGAGCCCCTTTAACTAACTTTCATTTCTGTTTTTCCGTTTATTACCTCAACATAGAGCCGAGCAGGTTATAGAGGCTAGTGAGGTGCCCTGGGAAACGTAGGCTGTAACACACCATGCTGTTTGCAAAAGTGTGATTTAACTTTCTTGCTTTGGATGCTAATTATCACAAAAAAACATAAACGAAAACCCCGAAATCAGGAGCTACAATGATTAATGGCACGCAGGATGAAAGAAAAAAGTAAACAAATATTCCAAGAGGTTGGACTGAAAAAAAAAAAGTTTGCCTCCCTCTCCTGCTGCTGTTCACAAGGTGGAGAGTAAAACAGCTTTCATCTCAGGTAAATGAAACAGCAATCAGTTCCTCCTTCAAATGAGCCTTGCCTGGGCTTTTACCCGCATCCGATTTCCTTTTTCTGAATCCAAGAGAAGGGTCTGAAGCTAACTGAGTGGCACTACACCAAATTGCAGTAAGTGCATTTCCATTGACACAAAAAGACAAATGAAGACAAGGATTGGGTCTGCTGAAAATTGAAAAGAAGAAGAAAAATGTTCTTATATAACCAAAACATATTTTTAAACACGGGCACATGCCTCATATCCCCTCTGTGCATCTCCTGTGAAACAGCTGACCAGCAAACATGAGGAGAAAGGAGCGAAAAGGTCCTGCGTGATATTCCCTGAGCAGCGCTCGGCATGTTTAGTGTAGCAGCGAGGGCGAGGAGTTGCTGTAAGTCACCGGCTGAGGGAAAACCCTGTGCACTCGCCGAGATGTAATCCATCATCAGTCACTGGTGGATACTTTGACAGTAATGTGGAGAAAAACAACATTTAAGGAGCACGGAGGGCTTTTCCCCACGGTCCACACAGGCCACCATCTACAGGGAGGAGGACAGAACAAAGACCCGGGTATACATGGGGGAAATATGTGTGTTTCTGAGTGTGTGTGGCAGGCAAAGGGGGATTTTTGTGTGCATGCATGCACCTGCATTACTGAAATACCGCTTGACTGCTTTTCAATAAACTTCAACTTCAGTCAGAATGGGTTTCATTTTTCCATGCGCTTCGGGGGAGTGCATCAAGAAAAGGACAGGGAACTCCTTTAGGCAAGCCTGCAAGAGTAAATTGTACTGTAGTGTGTGTGTGTGTGTGTGTGTGTGTGTGTGTGTGTGTGTGTGTGTGTGTGTGTGTGTGTGTGTGTGTGTGTGTGTGTGTGTGTGTGTGTGTGTGTGTGTGTGTGTGTGTGTGAAGTGTGTATGTGCAACTGCATTCACTCAGATGTTCTTTTGTTGTTTTTCTTTGATCCTGTTTTCGTCAAATAAAAAAAAGGGGGCTATGGCTTGACTGAGCTCACATATAAACCATTATTGAATATACTGTATATGCTGCAAAAAAAATATTTTGGGACTAGTTTGTTTCTACGTTAAAAAAACTGCTTCACACCCACTGTCGGAAATACATTTGCCTCACAAATTATTGGATTATGCTGATGTTATTTACCAAAATGCATCCAAAACTGACCTCCAACCCCTCAACAAAGCATCCAATAATCTCTTTAAGTTTTTCTCTTGGATGTCACTACACGACTCATTACTGTTAACTTTAATGTATAGCTCACTAAAATGTCCTCCACTCAATACAAGAAAACATATTAACTGGCTGCAACTCTTATTTCTACAACAGTTTTTAGTACCGTTTTCCTCCATATATCATTTTACTCTCTCCACACAATACTTTAACTCAGTGGTTCTCAACTGGTCAGGCCTCCGGACCCACTTTTTCCTTAGTGAATAGATTGCGACCCGAAAGTTTTAACTACTCAAATCTGTTCAACAAAAAATCGTGCAGTAATATATACTCTTTTCAGCATACATTATGAATTAAAGTAATAATAATAATAAATGGGATTTATATAGACCCAAAGACGCTTTACATTATGAGTCAGGTCGACAAACAAAACAAGAACAAAAACACAAACAAAAACATAAACAAAACAAAAACAGAAAAGCAGTCAGGAGGATGTTGGTTCAGAGGGGGGAGGGGCGGGTTTAAGGATAAGCAGAGTTGAAGAGGTGGGTTTTGAGACGGGACTGGAACAGGGTGAGGGAATCAGACTCACGGAGGTCTTGGGGGAGTTCCAGAGCTTCGGGGGTGCCACAGAGAAGGCTCTGTCCCCGAAGCTCCGGAGTTTGGCCTTGGGGATTGAGAGCAAACCGGCTGAGGTGGATCTGAGGGACCGGGGTGGTTGGTAGAGGATGAGGAGGTCAGCGAGGTAGGGGGGGGCCAGATGGTGGAGGGCTTTATAGGTGAGGACCAGGAGTTTGTAGTGAATGCGGTGTGAGACGGGAAGCCAGTGGAGTTCTTTGAGGACCGGGGTGATGTGATGCCATGATTTGGTGTGGGTGAGGAGTCTGGCGGCTGCGTTCTGGACACGCTGGAGTCTGTTGAGGGATGTTGTGCTGATGCCGAAGAGGAGTGAGTTGCAATAGTCAAAGCGGGAGGAGATGAAGGCGTGAATGAGTCGCTCAGCTGCGGGGCGGGTGAGAGAGGGACGGAGTTTGGCGATATTGCGGAGGTGGAAAAATGAGGATCGATGGCACCCCTGTTTCCCCCTCCACCCAGGCACGCAACCTTGGCGTGATATTCGACCCCACCCTCTCCCTCGACCCCCACATCCGCCAAGTTGTAAAAACCTCATTTTTCCACCTCCGCAATATCGCCAAACTCCGTCCCTCTCTCACCCGCCCCGCAGCTGAGCGACTCATTCACGCCTTCATCTCCTCCCGCTTTGANGGATTTTGGAAAATAGCTCGAAATAAGGTCTGAAAATGATAAAAGTAGGGTAGACATGTGGAGATTATCCGACTGAACAAAACGTGATCAGTCTCTTAAATGTGTGTCAACCACAGACCTTATTTCGAGCTATTTTCCAAAATCCTATGGAGAAATTGCATTGCTTTTTTGTCGAGGGAACCGGAAGAAGCTTACTTCCGGGCTTTAGGATGCGTCACTCCACCACTCTATAGCAGGAAGTGGATCAAAACCTTGAGCCAGGGGAGTCCAAACATCGGCCCTCAACAAAATTCAAAAAGTATAGTGAAATATGGCCCATAAATTAAACTTGTGCTTGTCTATTGTATTATTGAACTTCTTAAATATATATGTAAAAATATATTACACAGTAGTATGCATGTGTTAATAAGCCCACTTTGCAAATAAATTCAGACAATCAAAGCTGGAAACATTTTCTAACCAATCTAAGATGATAAGAAAAAAACCAAACAACTTGTTAACATAACAAGCTTGAAATATACCCATTATTTCCCCTTATAATAAGCAATCTGAGGCTTCTGTTCTAAGGAATGAGCTGCAACACTTTTTGTAACAAAATAAATGAAACCCTATGGGGAGCTGTGATGTAGGCTTTTTTTTTCTTAAGGTATTTTCAAGTATCAAGCATCCTTTACCTACATTTGATTGATTTTTCTAACTTACAACTTAACTTATGGCCCACTCCTTGGTATATTTTTCTGTATGTGGCCCTCGGTGAACAAAGTTTGGACACCCCTGCCCTGAGCTCTGCAGTTGGACCATGTCAAATAAACAGCCACATGCATGAAGTCATAGTGAGTAACTCATCAGTGCAGCATAAATGATGTCATGCTGAATGTCCCAGGTGGAGGCGACCCCACCAGAGGAGCTGACCTTTAGCTGGCTGAAGAATGGCCGTGCCCTGCGGAGCTCGGAGCGTATGGTCATCACCCAGACGGACCCCGACATCTCCCCCGGGACCACCAACCTGGACATCATAGACCTCAAGTTCACCGACTTCGGCACCTACACCTGCGTGGCGGCGCTGAAGGGCGGAGGCATCCCTGAGATCAGCATTGACGTCAACATCTCCTCCACAACTGGTGAGCCTCACACCCCTTTGTGTCAGTGACACATCTACACACCCCCCCCCAACACCTCTGACACATTTACACACATCTCGAAGCTAATTTAGTCACACACACATGCTTTAGACGATCATGCAAGATTGAAAATGTCAAATGACGAAGCAGAGATAAAAAGAAACAGGCAGTGTTTCTTAGACTGTGGCACGTCAGCTTTTTAAAGGAAACTAAATCAAACAGAAGGTCTAATTTTGTTTTGTTTTTGCTATCAATCCTATCAGTTTATTATTCCAATGGTTTCCAGCTAACCTTTTTTCTTTGTTAAAACTAAGGATTTTAAACTGTATCCATTGCATTGTAAATCTATTTTTTACGACAACGATAAGTCCAGTAGTTCAAAGTTAAACTTGCTATACACTTTGTAATTACAAGTAGAATAAATGATTTAGCTTGCTATGGCTCTAGGTAAGTAGTTTCTAAAGTTAAACTTGAACTTAAAAATGATTGTAACATGTCAAATCAACCTGATTTTTCAAGTAGAGTTGCCATGTTATAAAATAATAGGAATGGTAGCAAAATGTGAAAAAAGACTAGCTTGTAGGATGTTTTTGTTTTCCTAAATTGGTCAGTTCATCCAAATCCTTTAGAATGTTTTACAATGGAGGAAATGTAGCATTATCTATTGTATTAACAGAATTGAAAAATTGCAATTTTAGATGTTCTATGTTATTTTAGAGGGAATTTAATGGTCTTTTCTTTTTTTATAAATATATATATTTATTGCTTAAGTAGCACAAGCAAAACGTATCCGCCTTTGAAAAGATAAAAAGACAAGATACTGGGTGTGTGATTTGGATGAACAGACCCTTTAAATCACTGTCTGCACAGGATAAGAACGCTTATATGTTTTGACTGCTGTTCACTGCCTCACTAAATTCCAGTAATCTGTCCCATGCCAAAGCCTGTTCTACTCTAATTCCTACTCACAGCACCCAACAATTAATGGTCGATTGGACTTCCTTTGAACCAAATCTGAATCCATCCGTCCGACTAATCAGAGACTAAACATCCATTGTCCTCCCATCTAATTGGCTGCCTCCACCACTGTTCCGACTAACGTTTTGTATACATGTACGCGGCATGTTAATAACACACCATACCAGTCCACCTTGTCTACTGAGCTGCATCATTATAGCTTCAATCGTGGCATGTTGAGTAGTCTCATAGAAAGAGAACAGTGTTCCAGTATCTGTTCATTGTGTCATTGTTCCAAAAAGAAGACAAGGCGTAGGTGTTTAAAGAAATCATTCAATCTTTAACAGTTTAATCAAAGGACAAAATCTGCTTTCAAACATCCATTTTCCTTTCCATTGTTTTAGCATCAATCAATGTGAGATGTCATAAGAAAGAAACCAGCTTCACAGGCAACAAAAGAGCCTGACTTACAGTAGATGATTGCTACATAGCACATTGGGTACTGTTAACCATTTGTTCTGCGCATACTCTGCGAGGCTCTGCGATAATGATTGTAAAAGAAACTCATGTAATATGACAGGAATCGTGGTCTTTATCGGTCATTTCCATTGTAAAGTCAATCAAACGGCAGGCATGTGTGGTAATGCTTGGGTGTCACAAGTAATTACTTCATCGTCCATAGAGTAGCAATAGGATGTGATCCAATTGACCCAGTGTGCCGCATTTGGGAATCTCAGATATTCCGTGTGTTGTTGCCACTAGATTGGAGATTAATTGGTTTTCACGTTCGTTTTCCTAGTGTGTTTGTACCTGATAAATTACTTTTGGGTGTGATATTTGCGATTGGGTTCATCGCAATCTGTATTCCACGTTTACCACGCACAAACACAGGCACCTTTACATCCTCTCACGTCTTGCTTTCCTTCCGCGCACACACCTCTCTGCCTCTCACAGCGCGAACATGAAAGCAGTGTGTCGACCTTGGGCGCATAATTATTGTGAGATAATCCTTTGATAATCCCTGCGCTATAAAACAGTGGGATCAATCGCACCTGCCAAGATTGTTTCCTCATTATCTTTTAAGTAGTGCAGTCTCTTCTTTTGGAGTGCCAAGGCGATGGAGTTGCATTAACACAGAACCTTTAATGTGAAACAAAAATGGTGTCTGACTGAGGAAATTACCGAGGAAAATGACTTTTGTGATCATATGAAATGAAAAGTTTCCTTAAGGCTTGAATGTGAGTGCTTCTTAAGCGTTCATTGTTCCAGTCAGATGTGTTTGTATGAAATATTATGAAAGTGTTGCATTGTCTAAGCTGTTCCTCCTCATTGGAAATAATATATTGAATGTTGCGCTTCCACTAACAATACCTGTCGCTTCACTGGGTTGTTTTTCCTGGAGAAGTTCTGTCATGTGAGGCGCTTCTTTCCGTCAGGTTGAGATTGAATCGGAGCAGTGTCTTCACTGAGCGGCACAGTATAGCTGTTGTGAACTAAAGCGTCTTGTGACTGTGCCTCGCCATACGCCTGCGGCCTGTTTTGGGGTGAATAAGCCCTGTTGTTGTTCCTCTGCCTGTTTTCCTGAAGGGAGAGAGCCGAGCCTCAATTAGAAGTCTTAATAAAAGCGTTTAGAGGAGATTACACAGCAGGTCTGCCAGGGTTTTTCGTGCTGGGATAGTGGCTGGAAAGCGATTGAGCCTAAAGTGTTTCTAGTCTGAACACTTTGGAGCTCGCTGGCTGTTCCAGCCTTGGCTCCGGTTCCAGATTCCAAACCCGGATTTAGCCCCAGCCGACGGCACCGCTTTTATAAAAGAGAATATTTATTACGTTCCATTCTTTCAACTCAGATTCCAACGGCCTGCATTATTCCACATTTTTGCAAAACAGGGCTCATATTTACTATCATGGCACGTTTATAAGCAACTTATTTGCTCGTTTGCTTATGAGCGTGGTCTGGAAACAAGGACACCGACCTCCCCATTGGATACTCTCAGGATTAAGAACAGCATGGCACAGGAACAACTGAAAAGAGTTATGAGACTTCTAACTTAGTTGGATAGATACTATCTTATTAATCCTCTCATCATTAGTCTGCATGTTAAATGTGTGTATAGTGGGTGTGTCTTGCTGGATTATTGTGAGATAATAATTGCCATTCTATGGTTATGTGACTTTAGATTGGAGCCACCATTGGGACCGCATTAGAGAAACATCTTTAATAGCATCTAATGATTACGGTTGGATTCTTGACATTTAAAGCTGATACCCGCTTATTGCAGCTCTAATTACTTCAAACACGTGATTCTACGGAACCTGGCGTCCTGGAAACAACACAGCGAGAGCAGTTTGTTGATGCAGCGTAGCATCAGCACTGGGCAGCAGCTCATCCTCAGTCTGATTGATGTTCACAAAGTAAGTATTAGGAGTGAAAGTCACCGCTCTCTTCTTGAGTGAGATAAATCCTCCCGTGATGAGTTCCTCAATTAGCATCCCGCTCACACCTGAGATCCTGGCACCCCCCAGTTTTTCTGTCAATCTAAAGAATCACTGCAGTTAATGAATTAAGCAAATCAATTAAGTGCTCAGTTAATTAAAAATGAGCCAGTTTAATAAATATAAAGTCGTTTATTTATTTTTTTCCTGGTATGAGTTTGAGTCATAGGAATCTGGCTGCAGGCCGGCTCGTCTCTGTGTATCCTCCTTTCAAATGTCCTGTTGTCTGTTTGACTCTGATTCGTCATGAGCTGCCATCACTCCAGTGACCATGCAACATTTGAGTTTAATAGGGACAGTATGGCCGCTGGCTGTTGGCCGGGCTGATGTGCTTGCTTCTGTTGCAAACTCTGCAAACCTTTGCAACACCTACGGGGTGCAAAGGTTCAACTGCTGTCTGGTCACAGTGGGTGGAAACAAATTGTTTGCTGTTTTTTTCCCTCCATGCTTCATACTCATGTAGTTTTCACAAACGGTGGTTCTTTGTTGATGTCAGTCACATGGTCATTTTCTTTTATTGCTTTTTGAAAATGTGTTTTTGTGTTCAGTAGGAAATCCAGCTGGTCCAGCAATTGGCGGTATACACACTTAAAGCTAATCCCTGCCTCCTTAGTTATTGTTGCTATGCACGGCATGCATGCACTTAAAAGAAACAGAGGCAGATTTTAAACTCAGCATTCTGAGCAATTTCTGAAACAATGGGTCCTTGATTTCACACTGAGGGAGACAAAAGCAGGCTTCTCATTTAGCAACCACTGAAATGACATATGTTCCTGATTGTTTATTTAGCCAGCATTTGCTCTGTTGGTTTCTTGATGAAAAACGCCATCTCCAGTTGACTTTTTCTGCGTTTCCGTCTAAAGCAGGAATCAGTTTCTACAGCATCTTTTTGGGGTAAATTTGGAGACAAACAAGCATTTTTATTTTTGTTGGTGTGTTTCTCAGGTTTAGTTGTCGTTGCTGGAGTGGACACTTTCCAAAATCGAATGATCGAATTAATTGATTCATTCCTTACAGTTTTGCTACAGAGGTTAAAAAAGACACCATGTGCCTGAACATGCATATAAATCCAGAGTTTGACAGGGTTGTTGTGTCTAGATTTCCCTAAAGCTATCAATGGAATAATCACTGATCAGGGCAGCAAATGGTCAGTTCGGTGGCATATTAGTCCATAATGAGTTTTCCTGAAACACAGTGAATAGGACATCACTACAGTATCTATCCCCTCAACATTGAAAAGATGGTCCAATCCATTAATTGAAGCATATAAAAAGCAGAAAGATAATGAGAAAAGTACTGCATTTTTGCAATCACACCTTAAAACCTCAAATAAAATGTCTCTGATCACTCTCAAATGCTAAATTAGGTTAGGAACGGCAAACTGAGCTAAAAATAATATCATCTTGGAGCAGTGTTTTCCAGTTTTGGATGAACAAGCCATCAGGGGTCCGGAAACAGGCCCAGTGAGCTGTGAACTGGGATGAAGGGGCCGAACAGATGTCACAAAGCTGGGATGCTGTCCTGAGATGTTTGCCATATGACAACTGTTG